TCCTTATGCTTGACTGTGAGAAAGTGAAAATGTTAACTGCCATGGCATCGCTTTTCATTGTTGTTCCAAGCCCTCCAGAAGGCTGGTGTTCCAAGACCATGATTTTTTGTCGTGTCAAATCCCCTGGCCCCTTGCTGGGACCCTCTACCTTATTTTCGCACATGACAAATGGTTCCTCTTAAAGTGGATTGACACAGGGTTGTTTTCTTGTGTTGGGGAAGCCTCAGAGGCCAGTGTACTTCCTCCTTAATACACGCTAGTCTTGGCCCTCCCTGGTGGCGCAGCGGGTTAAAGCACAGCACTGAGAAGCTGAAGCCACTTCCGCATGAGTTCGATTCCCGCTGGCCCCGGAGGTGACCACATGGTGTGGCAGACCTCTCCTGACCCACCCGCTGTTCCCCTCAGCAGTGTACTTCGTAGATCTGCCTGTTCTGCTCCCCACTCTGTCTCTGGTGAAGCCTCTTGCTGCCCCTGAGCCTCTGGCCTGTACCCCAGTTCTGTATGCACAAATAAATCAATCTTTAAAAAAAAAAATACATGCTAGTCTTTCATTTCTTAGCTTTTTTGTTTTTTTGTTTAGGGAAAAATCATTCTTTCTGACATGGAGATAAGGTGAGATTCCGGGGTTTTACAAGCAAGAGGGTGATGGTTTCTGTTCGGGAGTGTTTCCAAAGGGCGAAGTCAGGTAGATGATGGAATTTGCACCGTATGTGCATTCGGAGAAATCAGAAAGCAGCAACCTCTAGTTAATTTATTTACAAGAGAAATGTGCAGCCTCTGTCGTCTGGTTAGCAGCCTGTTTTTACTTTTGCTCTTCCCAATTTATCCTGGGCACCATCCCCTGCACTGGAGTTAAAGTAAAAATGTGCTAAATGCCAGGGGTGTTGATCTGAGAGCAGAGGCAGGTGGGGGGGGGGTGAGGGTCACGCCCACACTGCTAACCCGGAGCCTCCCTGGTGTCCTGGGACCACGTGAGCAGTCGTCCTTCTACAGTCTTGATGCCACCATCAACCAAATCCTTCTTTGGAGAATTTAAGGGATGGTTATGGGGAAGGCCAGCCACAGAATGACCCTGAGTCTCCCGGAAGCTGAGGTCCTTCTGCTCCAGCCCCTCTAACCCCTACTCTGTGTCTGGAGCAACAGGAAGAAATCCCCTGGGGAGTGTTGCAAACACCCTCCCATTGTTCTGAAGTATTTCCACAATAGGAGGTGCTGGTGAGTAGACAGAGTACTCTTCAGTAGAGAGGCCAGGTGGGGCACTGTGTCCTCGAAGGGTTAAGGAGCTGGGGGAGGGAAGATGGTGTTTTATTTGCCTCTTACCTTGGGCCTACGTTCAGGTGGTGTCCAGGCCAGCTGCTCCTTGAGCCTCAAGTCCAGCGCTTTGTTGTAAACACAGGAGTGCTCAGGTTTCCCAGCCCCCCCCCCCACACCTTTTCCAGAACAGAAAGAGGAAAGTGCATTAAGGAGGGAGGAGGAGTAAACCATTCTCCTCCAGTTTCTCAGCCTGCAGCAGGGAGAGAGGAATTCATACCAGGCTTGACTCCTGGGCAATGGAAGTGACAGGCCAGAGTCCTGTTCCAGGGAGGGGCCTCCCCTCTCCTCCCTTCCCCCCTCCCCAACCACTGTAGGCTCCTGCAGAGAGGAAAATCTGTTCAATATTTGTACTCCCAGATCTGCTGAGAGACACCCTGAAATACAAGACCCCACTTCCTCAGCAGCTGGGCTCTCAAAAAAAGTCAAGATTTTCCCAACTTGCAACCTAGTCAAACCAGGGTTTCTCGAACTCATATTCTTGAGGGTGAGAAACAGAGCTCTGTGTGCAGCACAGAGCACAGGAACACAGGGTGCTCACCCTGCCCTCTCCCCTGACGCCTCCAGAAGCATCACACACTCCCGGGGAGCAGAAGACCCCCCAGATGAGAACCGGGGATTGGGAGGAAGAGCACTGTTTCTCCCGGCTGTGAGAAGGGTGAGGCTGTATAATGGGATAAGGAAGGAGAAAGCAGTAAGTATCCAGAGTTCGATAGTTTCCTTTGACTCAAAATGGTAGCTGTATTTAAGGGAAAAAATCTGTCTATCTTCTAAGTCCTGCTGATGGCCGACTGCGAAATGCTTGTGAGCTGTACACCAGCTGCAGTGACAGAATGCTACCAGCTGGGGCCGCCACCCCTTAGTTCCCTATTCTGCACCCATGGCCCTGAGGGTGTGCGTTTAAAAGGTGTCAAGCAGAGGGGTGACAGTCACCCTGCTTTTGCTTCACTCATGCTTGTCTAAATCTTTTCATTTGGGACTTCAACTCTCTTTTTGCTATGCTGGAAGAAGGAGGGGGGTTAAGGAAGAGGCCTGTCTAATAATCAATGTCAGTTTTCTCAGGGGACAGCGTGTCATGATTTGAAAGGTAAACACACATGGACATTTTTATGAATGTATAATTTGTGGTTATTTATAATTATTTATCTTGCATGCCACTCGATGAATCTTTTAGCAAAAATCAGTAGGCACCAAATTATCTTTTTGATAAATATTTTCATAAGGCAGGTTATGCTTCACTGAAGCAAGTTATGTAAGCAATTAAACATGAAAACAGTTCACTTTATACACCAAGAAGCCTCGTTTGTTCATTGAAAATTCATTCCCTTTAAAGAATAAAGTAGCTTTTTATTTTCATGTGTATCATGGAAAGATAATCAACTTTGCCCAAAGTGTATGATTAACACATGTTCTCAAGTCTATTAGCTTACAGCCTAAACATCAAGGGACATCCACTTATGTGAATATTAGCAATTTTCTGGAGTCCAGAGATTTCAATGCTTATTCATTAGATCCCCACATGCTTTTCTCCAAAAGATTTTTGAAGAGTATATACCTGAGAAATGTAAGCGGGCAGATGACCACTGAAAACATCCCCATGGAGTTTTATATAGTCGTGTTCTGAGATGTGACATTTGACTCTCATTTTACGTGTGCCCACACATTCTGGAAAAGCTCCCCTTCATAAAAGTAGCAGCACGATCAGTTCCATCACTATTTCACTAAAGAAGTCTTTAAAAAGCCCCACGTGGCACAGTGGGTTGGAGCACTGCACAATGAAGCCAAGCCGAACCATGGCCGCTTCAGTGAGAGTTTGATCCCTGTCCAGGAGCTGACCCACATGGCACGGCAGACCTCTCCTGACCCGCCCGCTGCTCCCCTCAGCAGTGTACTTTGATCATCTGCCTGTTCTGCCCCATGCTCTGTTTCTGGTGATTCCTCTGAGCACCCCAGTTTGTGTGCATCAATAAATGAAATATTAAAAAATAGCCCCCTTAGGAGAACACTGGCTTCTGATGCAGGCCAAGGCTGAGGAGGTGGGATGTCTCCTGGGCTGTGCTTGTGCTTCCAGTTTCTAAGGTAACCTGTGATCTGTATCCCAATCACGCATTTGAAAGGCTTGTTTTCTGCATCATGAAATTTTAGCTGGAAGCTCTGAAGTCACTGAACATTAATTTTATCTTGTTTTTTGAAAAATTAGGAAAACAGAAAATAAAAAAAATTAACTTCCACAGATGTGTCATGCACCCGCAATCAGAATGACATATTTACTAACCTAAGAGGATTTGCATCCTGAGCAATCACAGGCTAGAGCCTGAATACCAAATACAAGGGCTTCTCAGATACCCTAACCTATATGCCAAGTAAATACCTTGAGCACAGAATTGCGAAGGCTCCTGTAGTTTCATGGTGTCAAAACTTAGAGACTGGCTCCCAACTTTTATAGCAGTTGTTAACCTGGAGTGACGTTGTATCCTGGGGACATCTGGCAATGTCTGGAGATGTTTCTGGGTTGTTGCAACTGTGGTGTATGTGTGACACTGGTAACTAATGGATAGAAGAAGCAGTGGTGCTGAACATACCCAGAGGCAAAAGACAGACCCCAACAGACAGTATCTGCCCCACGGAGGAGCTGAGACACCCCCATCTAGTCTAAAGTGTGGCGTGAATATGCTGAGCTGAACTGAACCAACGTGTTGAATGATTGAACATTTAAATGCTCGTGAATAAAACGTTTTGGAAGCAACTTTATGGATAATTTGCTTTCTTGTCCTTGTAACATATTTATTTCTTTGATATTTCATTTAAGTCAAATCCCTATTCCCCTCCCCCCCCCGCCCCCACAGGCTTTTGGTTAAAACACAACCATTTCCAGCTTGCAGGCACCGATGGATTTGGTGACGCAGGAACCCCAAGAACCCCAAATGCTTGTCAGTCGGTAGTCAAGTGCACAAGCTCTAACATGCTATGATGGTGTGACATTGCCACTAGACTTAATTTAAATATAGTTAAGTTCTCATAGGCTTGTTTTCTCGTGTTAATCAAAAATGGACTTACCTTTCCCCCGTTGAGTGCGAATGCCCTTGCCTTTGGTGTGTGTCCTCTAAGTGAATCCAAATCCAGGCAGGCCAGGAAGGGAGGTGCCCCCGGAGGGAGGCGAACCTGCAACTCCCAGGTTTTCTGTGCCGGGATGTAAGTGCGCACCGAGACCATCCACACCGCCAGGGGGAGCCACAACGCCGCAAATGAAATTTCCACGGGTTTAGGGGGTTTTGCGGGAAGGTAAAATTGGCTTTTGTCTAAGGAAAGAGCAACCGTTGTCAACTCTGTCAGGTTATTATTTTGCATTTGCTTCTTGCCAAATAGGTAAGCAAGATGAACAGCCCCCCCCACCCCCCAGTCTGGTGATTATTTTGAGTACGGGATGTTAAACAGAGTGGCAGGCCCCCAGGACACTCCGCAGCTGGCCACAGCTTGGACCCGCGCGCTTCCGAGCCTGGGCTAACCCAACCTCGGAGAACGAGCGGTCTCCGTCAAAGCAGGCATCCAGAAATCCCGACGGGCCCTTCCTCAGGCTCCTGTCCTTCCTCCTTTCTCTCCAAAGTCTCCAGCGCGTCCTCGCCGGGACCCGCCGCCCGGCCGGCAGCTGGACCGCAGCAGTCGCGCCTGGCTCACTGGGTCCCGCCGTCGCGCGAGCCGCCAGCCCAGGGCGCGTCCCTTGCGCCCCGGCGCAGCCCAGACGTTCCCGCCTCTGGAGGCCACCCTCACCCCCGCGGACATCTGTTGTGCAGACCGAGGGGAGCCACCAGGTAACCCCAACCTCATCGCCTGCCTGGGTAGCAGAGAGTCAGCCGGACGCCGCGGGCGGACAGGCTTGGGGTGTCGCGCGGGCTAGCAGGTGGCGGGGGCGTCGTTCATCCCCACGAGGCGCCCCTCAAGTCTGAGCGAGAGCCC